AAAGGCGAGCGAACTCCCCATCATAATCTGGGTCATGGAAACTGCGCAAAATGGGTTGCACTTGCACCAAAATCGCGCATTTCTTCGAAAACCGGTGTATCGTTTCGAGAATTTCGTCTAATCCAATAGACTGAACTAGCACGCGATACGTTGTTATCCACACTATAAAATGCCATTCGAAATATGCAAGCTCTTACGACCAGCCGTTGCATATCTGTCAACGTGCTTGACTGGTTCTCGACGAGAGAGCCGTGCGTCGATTGGCCAACGATTTTCGGACATCGACCTACGCGCGAGCCTCGAAACGTGCTAATCACAGGAAGTGTACAAACGATATTTCATCAAATATACACTACATGCACGTGAAAAATCACGTTCTATCCTTTATTCAGATTCAATCCCGCAAAATATTTTTCTATTAAACCATTCGATATCGTTTAACGCGTCAGAACCTGAGCACAGTCGCTCATTCGTTGCGCACGTAAAACGTAATCGGAAACTATTGAACACGTATATGTATACCACGTGATAGATTCAGTACTTCTTTAACCTTTATTATTTGTAAATTTGTAAGTTCTTTTCAAAATAATAATATATGCTTGTGCACATATAATCAATATATACGCAATTAAAATTATATAAATGATTGAGTGAAAATGAAATACAATATATTTGTCTTAATTTTATTATACAATCTTCATATATATTTTTCATCTCATTCTAATGTCCTTTAGCATATCGTATCGATTAAGAAAAGATCTTTGTTTAAAAATTCTCTTTTATAAAAATTTTTTTTTATTATATATTGTGTAAAAATAAAATCTATTTTCAATCATTTTTTTATATATTATTGTTTCATAAAATTTTTAATATCAATATAATTATATTATATTTGAAGAAATTAACATGTAAATTCATATTTGATATTATCAATCGTATATTTAAATATATATAAAGAAGAAAAATACTTTATTCTGTAAAGAATTATTTTTTATATAATATTTTATGCATCATTTTAATAGCTTCCTTAATAATTGAGATAAATTAACATGATATAAAATAAAATTGAGAGAAATAAAAACTAAAATATTTGAATTATTTATATATTTATATATATATTTATATATTTATGTTATAATAAAATAGAATTTAAAATGTTCAAAAAAATAATTGTGGGTATATCTGGTGGAGTTGATAGTGCTGTAGCAGCTTTTCTTTTAAAAAATAAAGGTATTTTAAAAAAATAAAAATTCGAGATTATATATTAATTTACAAATATAAAATAAAATTATTGATATTAATATTTTTAAAGGATATGATGTCACGGGAGTATTTATGAAAAATTGGGATATTAAAGATGAAACAGGAAAATGTCAAACTGATGAGGATAAAGAACATGCAGAATGGATATGCAAAAAATTAAAAATCCCTTTTGTTGAAATCAATTTTGTAAAAGAATATTGGAATAATATTTTTTGGTATGTATACTTCTAAATGATTATATTTGTTGATTATATTTGTAAAAATTAATACTTTGCTTATTTAACTTTTAGCTATTTAACAGAACAATATGAAAATGGATGTACACCAAATCCTGATATTTTATGTAATAAGTTTATTAAATTTGATCAATTTTTTAATTTTGCTCGTACGAAACTTCAAGCAGATGCTATTGCAACAGGACATTATGTTAGGACTAGTTTTGGTCCTTATCTTGAATATTTTAAATTAAATACTAGTAAGTATAATTTTCTTCTTATTAATTTTAAATAGTTATTTTAATATATCCAATAATACCTAAACAATTACTTTAAACATTTTGGTAGATGTCAAATTACTTCAAGCACAAGATCTACAAAAAGACCAAACATTTTTTTTGTGTCAAGTACCTCAAGAAACATTAAGATATTTCATGTTTCCTCTTGGAAATTATTTAAAAAAAGATGTTAAAAAAATTGCTGAAAAAATTGGTTTGGATAAAATCGTACATAAAAAAGAAAGCACAGGGATATGCTTCATAGGAAAACGAAATTTCCAAAATTTTATATCTGAAGTATGATATAATAAATATGATATAAGAGAATATTTTACATTAATTAATTTTATATTAATAACAAAATAATATATGTATAGTATATATCTGACAAACCTGGAGATTTTATAGATTTGGATAGTGGTGAATTAGTGGGAAAGCATAAGGGCTTTCATTATTGGACTGTAGGTCAAAATGTGAAACTTGGAGGTTACCCAATTGCATACTTTATATATAAAAAAAATATTGAATCAAATAATATTATTGTAGTATGTACAAAATAGATCTTATATATATATAAATTACTTTTTTTGTAGATTATATGTTCATATGTATTAATATATATATATATATATATATATATATATATATATATATAGGTGAGAGGTACAAATCATCCAGCACTTTATTCAGATTTTATAATAACAAAAACTCCTCATTGGATATCATCAGAACCCAGTGAACTTAATAGTTACTATAGAATGATGCATTGCAATTTTCGCTTTCAACATAGAGATGCTTTAATATCTTGCATAGTTCACAAAAATTTAAGGAATGAATTAATAATTCATATTAATCAACCTTTAAGATCACTTACAGAAGGACAGGTATGATTTCTTTATGTTTAATTTTTTTTTATATAATATTATTTAATAATATTTGTTTGTTTCAGTTTGTAGTTTTATATAAAGGAGACGAATGTTTAGGTAGCGCTGTAATTTCATTCTGTGGTCCATCGTATTTCTTTCTAGACAAAGAAATAATGAATTATAATGAATTGAACGAGAAACAAATCGCGAATGAGAGTGTGTAACATTTATTCGTATTTTCTAATGATATAATGTATAATTGTAATTTATTAAAAAAATAAACTATGTTTTAATATCTTAACATAGTTTTATTAATTGAATATTCCTAATTTAATTTTATAATTTTTAATTTATACGTCTAAATTAAAATAATTTTTTTTTCTTTTCTCTTTTACATAACGGTAATTTATCATTGATCGATTTTGATCCTTGACTTTTCAAATATAATAACAAATTTATTTTTTGTGCAATTATTAAACAAAAGAAAATCATTTATAGAAGTAATCTGAAATGAGAAGTAAAAGAAATTTTTTCATACATCCACACAGAATCTTTGGTTAATCCATCTCGTTATGGAAAAAATGACGAAATAATATCATTCTAGTGATTAAACCACAGACATTAGTAATCTCTCTTTAATTTTCTTTTTAAAATATTACACATCAAAACTCGCGAGAAATGATGACCGCTGAAGAAAATGAAATTTATGGCTGTAACATAGTATATTGGAATTTCTTATCAAATCATGAAGATTGTATTAATAGAAGGAAACCACAAATTTACAGTAAGTTAATTCGAAGTTAATAATACTGAAAAAAAAAAA